ACATTAGCAGGGAGCTGGATTGGAAGTGGAGCAGCTGGGACTCAAACTGGTGGCCATATGGGATGCCGCCTGGTGTTACAGGTGGCAGCTTAAACGGTTAGACCACAATATCAACCCCAGATATGTCTTTGACAGAATGATTCATTTCCCTTGAATATATACCCAGTAGTGGGCTGCAGGATCATATGGTAGTTTTAGTGTTAGTTTTCCAAGGAAACCCCATACTGTTTTCCATAGTAGCTGAATGAACACAGAAGGATATAATTTTGTTATATAACCATCTGCTTAGCCCTTTTCATATATATATATATATATATAATATACATGTAGCTGCATGTCTAATTGTCTTCATTATTAAACTGTGCGTTTTCTGAGAATAGGAAACAACCCTTTGATGTGCAGCAGAATATCTTATTGCTAAATGTTTGGATTCAAATCACAACTCTATCACTCACTAGATGAGTGGGATTGGACTGGACATGTAACCTATTTGAACTTTGGTTTTTCTCACTGGTAAAAATAAAATAATAATGACTAAACTACTCTGGGTCTATATTTTCTTATTTATAAACTGGGCATAATTAGAACAGCTACTTGCAAAATAAAAACAATTATCCCAAACATAGAAAATATAAAGTAATGCTTGGTTGACATTTTGATGCTACACTAGACAATTTTCTAATAGCCACTTAAAGAGTATGAAAATGGAGATTTACATAAGCAGTCAGAAGGGAATACTGACAGATGAATGTTAAATTAATTGATTAAAAATATAAAAGTGATAAAAATTGTTTTTGAGGCTTACAAGGTTAGAATTATAAATATAGATAAATCGATATATTATTGTGATTTTATAGCATCACAGAGAGCATAACCACAAAGAAAAAATGTCTTATTGCCCCCTCAGAAAGTTAGCCAGTTAATTTATCATTTGCCAGTATACTTTCTTGACTATATAAATCAGTAATCTTCTGATACTCTTTAAAATGATATTTCCTCTTCTTGTTGGTTCTTTCATGAATAAACAATTTGAAAACTTTACTTTTATATACCTTAAAGAGGTTTTGTGAAGATTAAATAAATAATAATAGTACATTTTCTATAAGCACTTACTGAATTGAAGTATATTGATATCATCTAAGAAGATAATAGGAAGTGAGGCTAGTCTGGGGTACATTTTCTCTAGCCCTGGGAGCCCCCTCTAGCCTTTAAAATGGGTAATAATTCTTTTGTCCAGGAGAATAATCCTGAGCTGCATTAGTACCTGTGGAATTGGATAATCATTCACTGGTCACAAATGCTTATCTTGGCTATATTCTGGAACTTACTGGTGACATATTTTATTTTTAAAAACATTTGTTGGGGGGAAGTGGCAGAAAATGAGAACACTCCCATCTATAACTCAATCCAGGTCTCCCATGCAGATGGCAGGAACCAAATTACTTGAACCATTACCACTGCCTCCAAGGGTCTGCATTAGAAGGAATCTGAAGTCGTGAGCCAGAGCCAGGAATCAAACTTAAGCTATGGCACATGGGCATCTTAACTGCTGGACTAAACACCTGCTCTGACATATTTTATCCTCATATTTGTAAAAATGGCTTCTGTTAATGAGTTTCAGAGCATGATATTGACAAATTTTGCTCCTTAAAATTAAAAAAAATCTTAAAAAACTGTACTTTCAGAAATCATATTAGTGAAATTGGAAGGATCTGAGCTGTTCATAGAAGTCACACCCCACTATCAACTCCATGTGCAATTTCACTATACATTCATTTTGGTTCTGTGGTTTTCAAGGACAGTACTTTTCTTTGAACCTGTTAAGACACTACTTCCAAATTTTATCAAACTCCACTCTTTGACCAAAGGTAATCATAACCATATATTTTCCTTTTTTGAATATGCATTTCTGCTTGTTTATTCTTTATATGATTTAAAAATATTTTAATATGAAACTGAATTCATATAGTAATGTAACACTTCAAGTTCTATAGAACATTTAGTGATTATCTTCTAAGGACTGTGTACCTTATCATTTTATGTACAACAACAAGACTTTTTGGTCAGCCAAAATTTTGTTTCTTTTTTATTTTTATGAATGAAAACTCCAATTGATTTTGTAACTTTGCCATATATTTGCTTCTGATATTGTTTGTCTATTTTTCAATTTTATTTCTTTATTTTTATTCATTTGAAAGGCAGAGAGAGAGAGAGAGAGAGATTTTTCCATCTGCTGGTTTACACCTCAGATGCCCACCAGCTCTCCCATGTGGGTGGGAAAGACCCAAGAACAGAGCTGATTTTTTAGAACATTTTTAGAATTTGCCTCTCTGCTATGCTAATTTCATTATTCATACCAGCAGTAAACTGATGTATGTATTTAAATAACAAAATGTAAAATTGTTTTAAAGATGTAGATGGAAATATTTCTAGGCAGCAGTTGGAGATTGTGGTTCTACTTAAGTCATTTATAACATCAGACATCTATTTAGCTTACTCATCATGCATTCTAGGAATTCAAGCAAAGGGCAAAGGATCTTGATGATTTCTACATCTTTCAATATTGCAATAATTCACTATAGGAAAAAAGGAAATGAGGTGAAAATATGAAGACCTCTAAAATACACAGTGGACATATTGTTATGGCTAACTAGATAAAGGAAATAAGAGTTCTTTTTCATAGGAGTTGGAGAAGCAAAACAGTATTTCTCACATTCTTATTTCAAAAAACCTTTCTAATATGACAAATGAAATGTAAAAATAAAGATTTTTCATCTGAATGAGCTGTCTTAACTACTCTGTTTAGCTACACTTGCATAGGTATTTTCAATTTCTTTGTCTTCAGGACATGTGTGGGTAAATTCTTCACGAGCATATGCATTGTGGAGATAGCGCCAGACTCCTGAGAATTCTTCTGGTATGTCAAAGTCACGGTATTTCTTGGCAGCAACCTAGGATTTAAAAAAAAAAGAGGAAAAAGAAATTGGTGATAAAAGGAATCAGTAACATGCCTACTCTGTAGGAGCACATCTCAAAAGTCATGATCGTTGAATATACCTCTGCACAAAAAGTACAAAATAAATTTAAAGATTATTGAATTTAGCATTTTAATGTTTTCTCTGTGAATTCAAACAAACCTATATGCTTACAATCATGTTCATATCGATGCCTTATAGAGGAAGGGAGCACAGAGAAGGAGCACATATTCCCTCCCCAAGTAGATCAAGAGTTTCTTTCTTTATGTCTGACATAGGACACAAAAAGTAAGTTCTATGTGCATTCTATTTAACAAATATTTGTTTATCATTTGCTATGATGATAGGCTCTGTTCTAAGTATTTTATGTGCTTTAATTTATTGAATTCTCTCCACAATTATGTGAAATAGGTAATATTGTTATCCTTGTTTTATAGACAAGATGGTAGAAAACACTATCCAATTCAGGAAAAAGAAACAAGAAGGTCACTGTACATCATGCTGGCAACTCCCTTCCTGTGCGGTATTCCCTATACTTACTTTAATAATGTTCAATTTGGGTAACAAGCTGCAGTCAGCCAATGTCATGTGATCCCCATCCAAGAACAATCTTCTGGAAACTGTGAATTCCTCATGACTGTCTGGATCAATTTCATCCAAAAGTGGGGTGTTTAAGTAGTCATCAAGGCGCTTAAATTCTCTGAGCAGAGATTTTTCAAAATCTGAGGAAATTAAGTCATAGGGTTCCTTATAAATGTATTGTTTTCTCAATATGCTTTTCACACCTTTAGACCTCTCTATAACACATTACTTACACTAGCTCTTCAACTACCCACTGATAAAACAGAGTCAGATAAACAGTGAGTGCAAACATTTTGAACTTTCCTTGGGAGGTGCATTGGTAGGAAAGTCAAAGAAAGAAAGAAAATCAATATATTTTATCCAATACAGAAGAGTCAGAAACTGTAATAGGGGATATAGCTCTCATGACTTGGAGGATACTATATCAACATAAGAATATTTCTCAGACGTGGAAGATGCCATGTTTTAAAAAACCTTAAAGGTACATAATCCTGCAGTTAGTTGACACCTGGCATGTCAAGACTTTAATTGAGCTAAATTGGTAATTGCTGTATTGAATTGTGCGTTCTAAATCTAATACAACTTCATGGAAGGGAATTTTAGAGTAGAGAATAGAAAGTGAGAGGAAGAGTAAGGTGTTCTCCAATATGTGCTACATATCAGAAAAATCTTACTTTGGTTGAGAGTGGGCAAGTGAGTGAGAAAAATAGAAGTTTAAAGAAAGGTATCTTACTCTTATTTGCCTCCTTCTGTGTATTCTTAATGTATGCAGAAAACTTAGCAAAGAGATTACAGCCCACATCAAAGGACTCCTTGTACTTGGGACTCAGGCGAGGATACCTTAGAAAGAAGCACAAGTGGACTCTCATTTACACATACCAAGGCAGAGACCAGGTGTCTTCACTTGCACTACACTGAGAATGAAAATCTTAGGAAATTGTGCTGGAAATTGAAGGTCCTCAGAAGTCTGTTAGTAGAAATATATATCTTTTTCTGAATTTCACAACACTTTAATTTCTCAAGTTCACTAGGCAATCAGTTGTCTAGAATTTGATGTTTATTTACTTGTAGAAATCTTGTTTCAAATGGTTTTTAGATTCTGACACCCTTAAAAGCCTATTTGGAAGAAGATGTGGTTGTAATACAATGCATGTTCAGAGAAAAATATGGTTTCAAATACTGTAACTTATAAAACAGATGAAAGATTAAAGAGCATAAGAAAGAGGGAAAAACATAGCCAAGATATCATTCTCTTAGTAATATAAAGTTCATTTATCATAACTCAAAAACAATGTGATAATAAATAAGAAAATAACACAATCACAAATAAGTACGGAAAGTTATTCAACAAAAAAGCAGTACCTCATGGAGTTATCTGTACCTCATGCTCACTGCAGCTTCATTCACAAAGGCCATGACATACAAAAACTTAACTGTCCACTTTTGAATTAGTAAGAATCCTCAATATGCAATAAATAGGCCAGTATCCCAATATCTTAAGTAAAATAGTATCCTGTAAAGTGCTGTACCTTGGAGGAATTAGTGTCTGTTCTAAAAACTCTTCAATTTTAATGAAGTCTGTTTTTAATTCCTTGTTATACACCAGAAATGGAGGATTGGTACCTGGGGCTAAGTCTTTAAGTTCTTCAGGTTTTCTATAATTGTTGAAAATAAACAGAGTTAGACTTCTAAATAAAGTACACGTTATACAAAGACCAACAATATATTGCTGTCTACTGATCTCAATCCCCAGAATTTTACATGTCATGATTTCTCTTACCTGGTCATGTCAACAGTAGTCACATTGAATTTAACTCCTTTAAGCCAGAGGATCATGAAAAGGCGTTGGCAAAAGGGACAATTTCCAATACTTTCCCCATCACTACCAGCCTAATAAGAAAAAGAAAGACCTCAGCTCATTCATTTGTTTAACAAATATGTATTGAGTGCCTGCTGGGAAACGAGCTAGCTGCTGGAGACAGTTGGAAGTCCTAATCCCATGAATTCTATCATTTATGATCAGAGAGATATAATGAATCCAATAATCTCAATATACACAAAATTACAAGTGTCATGAGCACAAAAGTATTATAAATGTTATGTTACTAGAATTTATATAATAATTTTCTTATTGATGGGTATTTAGAGTGTCCAAAAATTTCTTCCACTTCTGAGATTATGTCTTTAGGATTAATCTTTAAAACAAGAATGCTGGGGCCGGCTCCTGCAGTGCCAGCACCCCATATGGGCACCAGTTTGAGTCCCGGCTGCTCTACTTCTGATCCAGCTCTCTGCTATGGCCTGGGAAAGCAGCAGAGGGTGGCCCAAGTCCTTGGGCCCCTGCACCCACGTGGGAGACCCATAAAAAGCTCCTGGCTCCTGGCTTCGGATCAGTGCAGCTGCGGCTGTTGCAGCCAATCAGGGAATGAACCAGTGGATGGAAGACCACTCTCTCTGTCTCTCTGTCTCTCTGTCTCTCTCTGTGCAACTCTGAGTTTCAAATAAATTTTAAAAATTCATACTTATTTTAAAAAAGTAAACAAATTAGAAGAAAGGATTTTGCATATTTTCACCATAAACAAACATTAAATGCTTCAGATATTTATACTGGTTGGGCATTACACAATGTATACAAAAATCAAAACATCACATAGTACCCCATAAACATGTATCATTTTTATGTCTGTGAACTTTTTAAAATAAAGAAATATTTTCCCTATTGTTTGAGTATGGCACACTTTTCTACTTTGATATTTTATATGTATTGAATTTATTTGTGGATCCTCTATTGATTCATTCACTCAATGAATATTCACTTACAAAATACTTACCTTTAAATATACACCAGGAATTATATATAATAAGATCAGATACTATAATAAAAATATTATCCCAAATTAACTTTCAGTTTTAAATAGAGATACATGTTTTGAAGGAAGGAAGTTCACTTTATCAGTGTGTAACAGAAAAACCCAGAGAATTCTATGTGAAGTCTGTCAGTGAAGGCCTTTCCTCATGAAATGGCATTCAAACTGAGTTCAAAAGATGATAGGAGTTAACCGGGCAAATGGGCATAAATAGGGTATTTTAACCAGAGGGAATATTACGTGGATAGGTATTGCAAAAGGTCAATGTGACTGGGATTCAAAGAGTAAAGGAGAGAATAAAAAAAAATCAGTAAGTTGGGATACTTCAAAGCTAATATCTTTTGCTTTTCAAAAGAACTATTAAGAAAATGAGGGGGCGGAGCCAAGATGGCGGAATAGTGAGGGCGCGCACCGATAGTCTGAGAAAATTTAGTTTAATAAAAGGGGAGTTACGGTAGCCTCAGAAAAAAGAACCAGGAAAATATTGCAGAGGAAACCCTTCTGGATTGAGTGGTCGTGAATCGGAGGACCTACTGGGAGAACAAGGTCGCCCACCGCGCGGAAGCCGAGCCGCGGGACCGAGCTGCGCAAGCCGAGCTGCGGGACTGAGCCGTTGGAACGTGAGGTGAGCCCGAGACACCGGCAGGCAAGCGGAGAGAGGAGACTAGAGGGAACGACCCCCGGGGAGGGGGGGAACATCACCAGGCTAACTGGAAGAGAGAGAGGTGACTGGTACGGACACGGGTTTCTCTCTCTCTGCTCACCTCTCAAGGGCGAGCAAGACAAAGAGCAGGCGCCATCTTGGACATACGTCATAAGCAGAGCGACCTCAGGTCTGCACCGGCCCTGAGCCTAGCAGAAAAACCTGACTCTGGGCGGGGCGAATTAACAGGAGATTAGGACCTAGTAAATTTGTGGTGCTACTGAACTGAGACTGTGAAAAAAGAGACGGTGGGGGAGAGAACTCACGGAATTCACGTGAGCACTCTCCAGAGATGCTACAATTCCGTAACTTTGGCAAGCCAGTGGGAGACTGAAGGAGAATTTGAGCCCACTCTAAGGGCCGAACAGATTCCTTGTGTGGTCCTTGGGAAAGAGCTTCTGATCTCTGGCTCCTGTGGGTATATAATTTGCCTGCTAACTACCTCCAATTTGTTCAGCTGTGCAGAATAACTTCCCTTTTGAATCAAAAAAAAAAAAAAAAAGAAAGAGAGAGAGAGAGAGGTTTATCACGCCTAACCTGGGAGTGTCACCTTTGGCACACCAAACAGAGCTCTCAGGCCACACCCATCTCAAGCCCTAAGGCTCCATCAAAAACAGATAGTCCACTTAATCTAGAGTCATAGTATAACAAGAAAAAGCACCACAGTGAAGAAACCAAATATCTCCAATATGCCAAATAACAAACACAAAAACCAAGGTAATAAAAACAAGGAAGTCACCATGAAGCCCTCAAATGAAAAAGACACCCCAATTCAAGATTATGAGGATGATGATATAGAAGAAATGCAAGAAGCAGATCTCAAAAAATTGATAAGAACATTAAGAAGTTCTCAAAAACAAATTCTTGAACTACAGAAATCCTTAATGGACAAGATAGAAAATCTCTCTCGTGAAAATGAAATATTAAGGAGGAATAAAAATGAAACGAAACAACTAGTACAACAGGAAACTGGGATAGTGACTGAAGTGAAGAATTCAATAGATCAAATGAAAAACACAATAGAGAGCCTTACAAACAGAATGGGTGAAGCAGAAGAGAGAATATCGGACTTAGAAGACAGAGAACAGGAAAGGATACAGTCAGACCAAAGAAAAGAAGAGGAAATTAGGAATCTAAAACATATTGTCGGGAATCTTCAGGATACTATTAAAAAAAACAACATTCGGGTTCTAGGAGTTCCTGAAGGCATGGAGAGGGAGAAAGGATTAGAAGGCCTTTTTAGTGAGATATTAGCAGAAAATTTCCCAGGTTTGGAGAAGGACAGAGAAATCCTAGTACAGGAAGCTCACAGAACCCCTAATAAACATGACCAAAAGAGACCCTCACCACGACACGTTGTAATTAAACTCTCCACAGTGAAACATAAAGAAAAGATCCTAAAATGTGCAAGAGAGAAACTTCAGATTACTCTCAGAGGATCTCCAATCAGACTCACAGCTGACTTCTCATCAGAAACTCTACAAGCCAGGAGGGAATGGCGAGATATAGCCCAGGTACTAAGAGAGAAAAACTGCCAGCCCAGAATATTATATCCTGCAAAGCTATCATTTGTGAATGAAGGTGAAATAAAGACTTTTCATAGCAAACAGAAATGGAAAGAATTTGTTGCCACTCGTCCAGCCCTGCAAAAGATGCTTAAAGATGTGTTCCACACAGAAACACAGAAACACGGTCATCAATATGAAAGAAGGTAAAGGAAGGAAACCAAGGAAGGAAAGCTCACAGCAAAAGATCACAGGGAATTCAAAGCATATATTAGAACTTATCTTTGGCAAATGGCAGGGCAAAGTTACCACTTATCATTAGTCACATTGAACGTGAATGGCCTGAACTATCCAGTTAAAAGACACAGATTGGCTGATTGGGTTAAGGAACAAAACCCATCTATTTGCTGCTTACAAGAAACTCATCTTTCCAACAAAGATCCATACAGATTGAAAGTGAAAGGCTGGAAAAAGATATACCATGCCAACAGAAATGAAAAAAGAGCAGGCGTAGCCATCTTAATTTCAGACAACATAAACTTTACCACAAAAACCGTTAAGAGAGACAAAGAGGGACACTACATAATGATTAAGGGATCAATTCAACAGGAAGATATAACAATTATCAATGTATATGCACCTAACTACAGGGCACCGGTTTATCTAAAAGATTTGTTAACGGACTTAAAGGGAGACTTAGACCCCAATACAATAGTACTGGGGGACTTCAATACTCCACTCTCAGAAATAGACAGATCAATAGGACAGAAGATCAACAAGGATACAGTAGATTTAAACGACACTATAGCCCAAATGGATCTAACAGATTTATACAGAACTTTCAATCCTACAGCTAAAGATTTTACATTCTTCTCAGCAGTACATGGAACCTTCTCTAGGATTGACCACATACTAGGCCATAAAGCAAGTCTCAGCAAATTCAAAAGAATTAGAATCATACCATGCAGCTTCTCAGACCATAAAGGAATGAAGTTGGAAATTAGCAACTCAGGAATCCCTAGAGCATACGCAAACACATGGAGATTGAACAACATGCTCCTGAATGAACAATGGGTCATAGAAGAAATCAAAAGAGAAATCAAAAACTTTCTGGAAGTAAATGAGGATAACAGCACAACATACCAAAACTTATGGGACGCAGCAAAAGCAGTGTTAAGAGGAAAGTTTATATCAATAGGTGCCTACATCAAGAAATTGGAAAGGCAACAAATAGATGAGCTTTCAATTCACCTCAAGGATCTAGAAAACCTACAGCAAACCAGACCCAAATCTAGTAGGAGAAGAGAAATAATTAAAATCAGAGAAGAAATCAACAGGATTGAATCAAGAAAAACATTACAAAAAATCAGCCAAACGAGGAGCTGGTTTTTTGAAAAAATAAACAAAATTGACACCCCATTGGCCCAACTAACTAAAAAAAGAAGAGAAAAGACCCAAATCAATAAAATCAGAGATGAAAAAGGAAACGTAACAACAGACACCACAGAAATAAAAAGAATCATCAGAAATTACTACAAGGATTTGTATGCCAGCAAACAGGGAAACCTATCAGAAATGGATAGATTCCTGGACACATGCAACCTACCTAAATTGAACCAGGAAGACATAGAAAACCTAAACAGACCCATAACTGAGACAGAAATTGAAATCAGTAATAAAGGCCCTCCCAACAAAGAAAAGCCCAGGACCAGATGGATTCACTGCTGAATTCTACCAGACATTTAAAGAAGAACTAACTCCAATACTTCTCAAACTATTCAGAACAATCGAAGAAGAGGGAATCCTCCCAAATTC